CTTCGGCGCCCACCACCACCTTGTGCGTTTCGCCGCGCGCGCGCTTGCCTGGATGCTGATCAGGCCCACGCGCGGGTAACCCGCATCACAGGCGGCAAAGACCCACGATCACGGCGACACGGGTCGTCGGGGCGAGGAGCGGAGCCACGCCACGAGAGCTTCTGAAAACCTGTATGGTCATCAATATTCAGCATCTCGACAAACGGGCCCCGCGGGAAGGGCGAGCGGTGGACAACCTGCTCGTGAGGCCGCAAAGCCCCGAAGCTGTGCAAGACGCCTTCATGCGCAGAGTTGGCAATCTCCACAGCCATGTTGTCGCCCATCGCCAGAGCATTGAGGCAGGGCGCGACATCCACACCTTCCAGCTCGGGGCGCCAGGCTCGAAAGGCCTTGAAACGCGAGGATGGCAGGCGAACGCGCAGGGCGTTACGTCTGGCGCGCGCGGGGGGGACGCGGAAAGTATAGTAAAACTCCCGTAGGTCGTCACAAGAAACTGCCAGCCACTCCCCAGGTGCCAGCCCCAAACGGCACAGCAGGAAACCTTGGCCAAGGCGCTGGGTGCTGGACGAAATTGAAGCACAGCGGCTGTTCACGACCGTGGGGTTCAGGATCAGCCTGTCGTAATCGCTGTCCTTCGGTGCCCTGAAAGCTCCACAGGCTTCATCCCAGGCGAGGTCCGAAGCAGGAGTCAGGTACAGGGCGCCGCAGGCATCCCACTTCTGGAGTAGGGCCCACAGCTCGGCGCGGTCCATATGGACGCGCGCACCCTTCTGGCCAGCAGGCCACTCTGATGCCGGTAGCCGCATAACCTCAGGATCGATGAAAGCTTCGCGGACTCGAGCGTCAGAGAGGAAGGGAACGGGATCAAACTCTGGCGAATAATCCCACTTGATGCGAGACGCCCTGACTTTCAAATCGAAGGGCTCGGCCTGGGTGGAGTCCCAAGCCGCCGCAGTCGCCAACGACCCAGGCACAGGAGGAGCGCCGGTCGGGCAGTGCCGCATGGGGGCGGGTACGGAAGAAGAGGAGGTGAAAGAGGCCTCCAAAGCTGCAACATGGGTGGCCAGGCCATGGAGCGAGACCTCAGTGGAGTCGAACTTGGCGAAGGCTCGACCTAAGTCGCTCTTGCCGCCACGGGCGAGGCGAACTGCGATCCGACACAACCGTTCGATACGGGTGCGGACGCCCTCCTGGCAGGGCGAGACCGTGGCGCGGACGCGAGCCTCGGCGGGAGCGAGGCTGGGGTGACCCAAGGTGAGCCAGTTCAACGCAATAACCGAATACTGCGCGAGCGTCCGCGCCGCGCGCCGCAGTCTCCAGCGCTCCCTGCGCCTCGCCGACAAGCCGTCAGGCGGGGGACCAAGAGGTGGAGCAGGCGGGCACGGCCAAGGATCGCGGGGAGGCGGCCCCAAAAGGTACGGGCCGTCCCTGTCCATTGCACGCATAGATGAGCGGGAGAAAGATCCAAGAGAACATCGAGCACCCATCCCAACCTGGGACAGCGCTGCTGCCCAGTGGGTGATATCAATGTTCGCGCCTGGGAACAGGCGCAGCAAGGCAGACAAGTCAGCGACGAATGGCGCGACTTTGGCAAGAGCAGCAGGGGTGCTTGAAGGAGAACAGGCACCAGCAGGGACACCAACCTCAGGGGCTGCAGGCCCCCTGGAGGGCGCGCTCGACTGAGGCAAGCGTCGGCCAAAATGGCCGAAGGGATCCGAGAAGCGGTTCGGAGCAGAGCGAAGGGCGTGGTGGCGGAACGTACTCCTCCCTGCGGGGCCGCAACAGCATCGCTGGAAGAGCGCATTCCTACCCTCACGCCCTCGCTGTGCCCAAACGCGCCTAGCAACCGCAACAGCGTCGGTGCAGTCTGTGTGCGGCGGCGTACCCCGGCCCCGCGAAGGCCCACCCTTCCAGGAGGCGGGCGCCAAAGGCGCCTTCAGTCCTTCTTGGGCACCGCCTTCGGTGCCTTGGAAGCACCCTGGGACTTGAAGGGCTGCTTCGAAACCTTGGGCTGCTTGGGCTGGTGAGGTGGATGCTTGGGGAGCGCGACGGCGCGCTCGGCGTCGAGACGCGCCCGAAATGCTTGCAGCTCCTTCACGTATTCGCCCTGCGCCGACAGCCAGCGAGGATCCACCAGGGGTGAAAACGGGGTCTGGGCCTCGCGCTCCGTGTGACGACTGGTCACGCGACACGGGGGAGGCTCCAGTCCCGTGAGGAACCAGGCGGCTTCGAGATAGCCGCGGTCCCCCGCCAGCTGGTCGATGAACATACACTGACACGTCAGAAGAGTCTGGACTCTCTCGGGGTTGCCCTCCTCGCAGGCCCGCCACAGCTCGGCGCTGAGGAAGGCGAAATGCGTCAACAACTCGTGCGTCGTCGGCTGAGCCCCCAAAGGACTGTGCTCCCGAAAGTACTGATGCATGGCCATGGGGGTCACGGCGCTGACTTCCACGCCCAGAACGCGGGCCAAATTCTCCTTCATCAGCCCTCGCACGTCGGGGCCGTGCTGTATCAGCGCTTGCTGCCACTCGCGCCTCCGAGCAATGCCCCCCATCTGAGCCGATGCGGGCGCGGGGTCGCCCGAACTCGCGGGCGGAGATTGAGCTGAGTCGCTCAGGGTCCCCAGCAGCGGATGGACGGTTGGGCGATGGCCCCGCCCCTGCTGCAGAAGGAGGGACTGGTGCAGGCACTGTAGCATGAGGCTGAGGTCCGTCGGATTGGCCGCATGGGGCGGCTCTGACCCGTCGGCGCCGCCCACCTCGGCAAAGCCGTCGGCCGCAGCGGGATGGGCTAGCCCAGGTGGCGGCGGGGGACCCATCGTTCCGAAACCGGACGAAGGGGCCCGAGGGACAGCAAGAGAGCGCGCCTTTTCCCACGCCGAGACCAGCGCGGAGGTCGGACCCTTGGGACGCGCGGAGACCCGCTGTGGAGCCACGGGCGCGTGGGACAGGGCGGCCTCGATCCCCGCAGGATCCAGCCCGAGGCGCACCGCTTCGTCGCTGAAAAGCTGAGGCACCTCGGGCCGATCGCTCCGAGCAGCCGGAGCGGAGCCCAGCGGCTCGGGTCGGCCGACCATCGTGGAGGCCGCGTGGGCTGCAAGCAAAGCGCGCATTTCGGCAGCTACTTCGGCACGAGTCATAGGAGCCCCGTCGTCCAGAGCCGCCGCAGGGGCACCAGGAGCGATCGGAGCGGGACCCGCGACCCGTGGCGGCGCGGCTGTGGCCGCGCGCTTCGCGGGCGGGCCGCGCGGCGCTCCAGCGTCCGCGGGAGATCGCGCACTTGGGGCCGTGCGTTCGGCTTCCTCGTCGGCCGCGAACCCTTCGGGCTCCTCCATCTCGTCGGCAGAGTGATAGGGAGTAGCCCGATCGGCCCCTGGGAGCGGCTCTTCCCCTGCGGTAGGCGGGGCGCCGTGCAAGCGTGCGTAACCCTCGCGAAGCACCCGAACCCCTGAAGGATGAGGCCAATAGACGCGGCCCCGCACCTCGGCGAAGGGAACGATGGCTGCGTCCTCGCCGACCTCTAGAGGGTAAAGCGACTCGAGCTCGAGCTCTGCAACCTCGATATCCACGACGAGGACGGATGCAGTAGTGGCGAGCGGCCGCGAAGCGGCCCCCTGGAGCTGGACGTCCACTAGCTGGAAAGGGCCTATCATCCCAGCAAAACCCCCCGCCTCGGCAGCCTCGAGCTCCGACGTAGGGCGAAAGGCGCCAGGCAGGGCCAGAAGGATGCCCCCTTCTCGAGACGCGAGGGGGATAGCTGCCCAGCTGGTGTCGCCGTCGTCTAAACGCCATCGTGCGTAGCCGCGAGCCGTGGGAGCCGCGAATGGGTAGAGCTCGGGCCATAGAGGCCCTCCGCCGACTGGTGGCAGCTCGGCCATCAATGGGTGCTGCCGTGGGAGCTGCTCCCCGAATGCTGGGCGTCTGCCCGCTCGAGCGCTCGAGGCCGAGGCGGAACCCCGTAAGCCAGCGCTCGCGCCGCACGGCGGTCCTGCCCAAGGGAGGCAGGCACCGCTCCGCGCGGCCAGACGGAGGCCCTGAGTCTCCGCCACACGTGCGGGCCCAGCAGCCCGAAGCAGCAGCCTGCGCAGGCGCTGCACGCGGCCGTCACCCAAAGGAGGGCGACGACCGTGCTGAGCAGCCAGGGAGAGACCCCGCCGCTCAGATCCACCGCCAGCCCGAGGCAGACGGTGGGGCAGGCGGAACCCGCCGAAGGGAGGGGACAGTAAGCCCCCTCACCCTCGGACGAGTCCGCCTGCTGGATGGACCAGGCCGGCGCAGGAGGCCCTGGGTCCTGAAGCACAGAGAGGGGGGCGGACACGAGCCGCTCGTAGAGCGCGGCCCGCAGCCCCCTGAAGAAGATCTCCCCAGCGCCTCCGAGAGCCGCTTGTGCGAGCGCCTGCATAAGGCGTCCGCACGCGCGGCCGACGGGGGGGCACTTGGGCAGAGAAGCTGCGGAGACAGCAGGAGCTTGCTCACAGAGAATAGAAGAAGCATGAGGAGGACTGGGAGGTAGTAGACGACGACGGCGATGCGGAGAAGCAGGAGGAGACCAAAGGGGCGACCACTTGTCTGCGCATGAACTAGATGATCGCTTCGCCCAATATCTTGCTACTGCTCGCCCCTCCGTTTCGACTGCTGCAGCTGCTCCTCATCATGATCCTCTGCCTTTCTCTTGAAGGTATCTGGGGTCCCGAATGTCCCTGGGGTCTCTCGAGGTCCCCAGAAGCCTCCGAAGGTCCCCATAAGCCTCTGGAGGCTGTTTAGATGCCCGCACAAGTCCAAACGCGCCGAAGCACTTCGATCATGCGGCTGTTCCTCCTCCGCCCTGTCGTCCCCCTCTCTCCTCATGCTCCCTCTCCTCCCTCCTCCCTCCTCCGCCCTCCTCCTGGTTCCTTGCCCCTGATGGCCATTGAGTTCGCCGAGCGCGGCCTCTCACCTCCCTCCCCCTGCTCCTCTCGCTCTCGCCCCCTTGCACCATTCTCAGCGGCAGAGGGAGCTTGCCTGAGCGGACACAGGACGCTGCTTCTCCCAGGGCTTTGGCGCAGCAGCGCCGCCGTCCTCCCGATCTGCCAGTCGACTTGATGAGGAGAGAGAGGGCGAGGATGAGAAGCAGGAGGGAGGGGAGAAGGAGGATGAGGAGGATGAGGAGGAAACCTGCCCTCATCCTCCCTTTCCCACTTACCCCTGCTGCTGCTGCTCCTGCTCCTCCACTTCTCCGCGCGCGGTGTGCGAAGAAAAGGGCGCTGCCCCGTCTGGAATTACGATCGGTGCAAGACGTGTCAATCGCGGACGCCAGCAGTATGCTTGCGCAGAACGAAACCCAGGAGGAACATAGGAGAACATGGCGCAGCATGGGCAGAGACAGACAGAGCGTTCACGCAAGAAACCATCGAAATGCCAACGCAGCACTGCCTGAACGAACGTGTAGTTACATGAGCGGCCAACACTCTAAACCTCCCCCTTCTTGCCTCCCTACACCACCGGCCGCCTTTCTAGCGCAGTTGCTGTTTTAGGCCGCCCAGCCCGCAAGCGTGCACACCTTGTCCTTTTCCGCCACTGCTCTGCAAGGTTCGGGCAGGCATTGCAGTGCACGCCCTGCCCAAACCAGGGCAATAGTTCAGTCATCTGGCAACTCCAGCTCTTCTGGAGCGCTCGTGTGGAACGCTGTGCGAAGAGCGGCTGCAAGCTATTGTGCGCACGCGCGAGCTGTTCAAACACCTCCCTTCAGCTCTTCCCTCTCCCGCCTTTGGCGGCGTCCGAACGGGCCGCGAGAGCTCCCCTTCTGAGGCCGCCCACAGACTCCGAGACAATTGTCGCGCTGTTTTGTGGGTTGCTTCCGTCGTGCCGCAGCCGAACGGCCGTTGCTTTGCGTGCGCGGCCGCCTCCCGCCCCCTTCTCCCCTCATCCTGCTGAATCCGCGGCCCCTTCACCTGGCCGGCTTTGGGATACATGGCAGGGGTGTCGGCCGAAAGGTCAAACTATCCAGCAAGGGGGGTGCGCCCATCCAGCTGATTTTTTCGGTGTCCAGGTGGAAGGCGACGACTCTCCTAGGCACCAACGACAAGGCACACCCCCAACAAATGCAACAGGAAGGACAAGTGATGATGCTGATGCTGCTGCGGAGGCGGAGGAAGAGGAGGAGGAGGAGGAGGATGAGGAGGAGGAGAAGGAGGACACATAGCCCAGGAAGACAACTCCAGGCCTAGGTCCGCTGCCTGGCAGCACTCATGGCGTAGTCTTGTCTTAGGCGTTGTCAGCGATTTCGAGACGGAGGTTGTTCTGACCAATGTTGTGCAGGTGGCACATCAAAGCTATGCGCAATGCAGCTCGCTGAAGCTCATCATCCTCGACCTGTTTACCCGGAAGCCCGAGGCCGAGTCGGACAATCAGTCGTGCTGAAAATATTCATCGTGGAAAGGAGACACAAAGGCCAAGCTCGTGGGCAATGGAGGTAATGGCATCTGTCGCCCTCGGCCTCGCAACCGAACCTGCACGTCAGGCGCTCGTGCATCCGGTGGCTTGTCGGCCAGGCCCCAGCCAAGGTTTGCACCACTGTCCAGCGCACCCCAGGTTTCAGTGTAACGAAGGTGGCGCGGAGAAGATGCCAACGGTCCTGGAGGTCGCCAGGCGGCACGACCTCGCCATCTTTTGCACGCCACTTCTCCAATCTCCTCCCGATGGTCACGTGGAAGGAATCGTCATGGAGCTCCTGGGCCATTAACTGCTAGGTCGCCTTTTTAACGGAGGCGCTGTTGCGTCCCTGGGAAGCTGCCCGAGCTCCCGCCATGCCGCTCGAACGCCGCTACGTCGGAGACGAGCGTGAGGGCGCGGCGAGAGGTGGTCATCGAACGTCTGGATCATGGCACGCTGTTCCTTCCAAATCGGAGGAAGTCACAGACCAATCCCCCCTCGAGCGCATGCTCGCGCAAACTCTCCAGCCATCGCGGCCACGCTGGCATGGTGACCGCCGCTGCGCACCACATTGCAGCGAAGGACAAGGCGAGCATTGACGTGAAGGGCGTCCTGGACACCCGGCACCTCATGCTGAGCATACCGTTTCTGGTGAATGCCTTCGGAGTCGAAGGGAAGCGCAAGACATGATGCGAATCGCTGAAGTATAGCTTGGGGTCTATGACGAAGAACTGCATGAGGTAGCTCAGCACGGGCAGCGCCGCCCAGTTGTAGTCGCGCACGATCGCCTCGTTGGGCGTCGGGCAGTCCCAGGGTAAGCACAAGCGCATGCGGTACTTGCCTGCCGCCTCCGCCCACCGCATTTCGCTCGCTGCGCCCAGGCCAAGTTTGACCCCCAAGTATTTCATGAAGCTCGCAATTTTGAACTCCTCCCAGCTCTCCGTGAGACTGCCCAGCTCCATGCGGAGCGGTGCGTCAGTTTCTGACAGGATGCCCCATCGCTGGACCAGAACGCACCTCGACGGCTGGAGCCGGAGGGCGGCCGGAATCGATATGGCCTCGATGTGCGGCTCTCAACGTGTAGTGTGCGCGAGGGCGGTCGCTACGAGTCCGAGGTCATCCGCGCACGCCGATAGGCTGTCGCAGCGCCAGCGGAGAACATGCTGGTCGCACTCCATGTTCATCCTGGCGCACCTCGCCATGGCGACGCTCGAAGGCTCAATCAAGATCCTCTGCATGCCAACGAGGAAGGGGTTGAAGACCAGGGCCCAACGGTTGCAGCCGAGGGGACACCCCTGTGCAACGCCGGGGTCCAGGGGGCACAGCACGAGTAGTGCACCGCCGGAGCGAACCCAGCCGCAGTGGTCGACGTACAACGCATGCACGAACAGAAGGTATTCCGCGGGCAGCCCATACCTCCGCAGGCTGGCGAACAACCGGTGGCGTGCCAGAGACGGGAACGCCGCAGCCACATCGAAGGAGCACATGGCTGGGCGACGCTCTTCCGCAAGTGGCGCGACGCCTTGGGTCCGCGCCTGCAGGTCCAGCTGTCGGATGTTGTCTGTGAAGGTCCGGCCCCGGATGCAGCCTCGCTGCACGTCGTCAGCGCGCTGCTCGGACAGCGTGCGCAAGTAGCGATTGCCAGCTGCAGCGCAGAGCGTCGAATCCGAGTTTTTTCAAACTCAGCGGCCTGAAGGCCCCTGGCGTCCGAATGCATTCCGTCGCCGACGGCGGCTGGTCACCCTTCGGGATGAAAAGCATCGGAGACTGATTGAATTGAGAAGGCGGCCAGGCGCCGCGCATGACCTCCAGCAGTACCGCGTGCAAAATCTCGAGCGACCTCTCCGAGGACATCCAGGCATATGTTGCTCCCATCGTACTTTAAGGACCACGTCCCAGACATAGTCTCGAGCATCCAGAAAAATATCGAAACAGTGTCGAGCGAATATCGCCTCCTAGGGCCCGACACTTGAAAACCCTCCAGTTTCGGTATTTTCTTGGTGCTCGATATGTTGTCTGGGGATCGAGGCTAAAGCAGGCTGGACCATCAGAAATCCAGGCGCGGTACGGCAGCATGTCGGGGCTCGCAGCTGCCGGGCGCGCGTGGCGGGCCACGTGCTCCAGATCCTCGAGCGTCGGCAGTGGGAGCGGGTGCTCGGCGAGCGGCGGCATGACCTCGTCCAGGTAGCGTCAAGTCGAGCATGTCCTCCTACAGGCGGATTCTGGATGACAAATCAAAATTTATCCCAGTGCGACCCTACCTAAGAGTTGGAGCATCTAGGAAAGCAATCTCTACATCTACACCGACAGCTACATTAATATCTACACCTGCATCTACATCTACATCAACATCAACAGCGAGACTACATCTACATCTACATCTACTCAACAGCCGGGAGTCTGGACCCGGCCCTGGCCCCAGCTGGGGGGTTCGTCCTTCAAAATGGTTACGGAAGGCACTGCTTGCGGGGGCTCCGGTCCGGCCATCGAGGCTACCTCGGCATCTGTCGCACATTTCTTTTCCTTTGCCTTTCCTTTGCTTTGCTTTTGCTTTTGCTTTGCTTTGCTTTGCGTTGCTTGTGCTTTGCTTTGCTGTCGCTGCTGTTGCTTTGCCTTTGCTTTGCTGCTATGCTCTGCTATGCTCTGCTATGCTATGCTATGCTGCGCTGTGCTATGCTGTGCTGTGCTGCGCTATGCTATGCTATGCTATGCTGCGCTATGCTGGGCTATGCTATGATATGCTGTGCTGCGCTATGCTATGCTACACTATGCTATGATCTGCTGTACTCTGCTATGCTAAAGCTCAGCGAAGCTACGATGAAGGTGAGCTAAGCTAAGATATGCTATGCTATGCTCTGCTGTGCTATGCTATCCTATGCTCTGCTGTGCTAAGGTAAGCTGCGCTACGTTATGCTATGCTCTGCTGTGCTGTGTTATGCTCTGCTCTGCTAGGCTATGCTCTGCTGTGCTATGCTATGCTATGATATGCTATGCTAATACTGCGCTAAGCTAAGCTGGGCTAAACTAAGCTAAGCTCAGCTAGGCCAGGCTAAGCTCAGCTAAGTTAAGCTAGGCTGAGCTAAGATGAGATAAGCAACGCTAAGCTAAAGGTACGTAACTGGGGGAACCGCGGGGCGGATACTGGGGGACCCGCCCGGGGCGAGGCCCACTGCCCGGCCCTTTAAGCCCAGAGGGTAAGAACCCTTCTAGGCAAAGCCTAGGTCGGGAATAAACACAACGATTCAAACATAGTAAAAACTAGTTGATTTTTGTGCGTGAGACTATTTTTGAGCTTTCCTCCTGTAGGACTCAAAGGTAACGTTTCACCGCATCAGAATCGGTCGCTTTGTCTGCGAAGATCGGAGACCCGTGGTCTCGCAGAGCCTGGGCCAGACCCATGGGATCGCGCACTACCCTCGGCTTCGTCGGCGTGCGTGACCTTGATCCCATGCAGAACCAAGGCACGCCGAAACGGTTGCCAAAATGTGCACCCGGGCCTGAGCCGCCGTTGCACCTTCAGCCAGTGATCAGACTCGCGCCGCCTGTCCGCAGTCGCCGCATCGCGTGCTGCTCCGTGTGCCTCCTGCTGAATTTGCATCGCCAGGTCGGCATTGACGGTGCTGATCTGGTTCGCGAAGACGTCCGCATTCTGGAGGGCAGCCCAGCCTCCCTGCACAGCCAAGTCCTGAGCTGCAAACGGCGAAATGGCGCATAACGTGGTCGCAGTACGCGTATCCTGACGACACACAGCGCGCGCCGTCGCCCGCAGCACCGTAGCCCGAGCAGCACTCGGTGAGGACATCGTGGAAGATACGCTGGGCATGATCGCATCACGGGTCATGCGAGCAGCGAGGATCATCAGCTCCTTGCGCCGGCTCCAGGCCACCAGTGGCTCGCCTCGCCGGAACTCCGTCTGGTCGCGCAGCGGCTCTTGAAAGATGAACGCCGGGATGCCTCTCTGGTCACGCCTCGCAGGGGCCTGATGGCGAATGACCAGATGCATCAGTCCATGGTCGCTGAGCCGCCCAGCAGACAGTTAAGCAGGATCAGCATGGACCCGAAGAAACACCTCGTGCGCAAAGATGACGTGCCCAGTCAGGGAGACAAAGCATCGATCCAGCGTTGCCGCCGATTGCGACTGCCTGTCGAAATGCGTCGGGACCTCTGCAATCACTTCTATCATCCTCCCGGTCAGCCTCCGCCAATACGCCTGCTGATCGTGGTCTCGTCTCGTGCCCGTCTGCTGCACCTGCTCAGGGTGGAGATACTGCCTGGGGCCCTGCAGGTCATAATGAACATCCCCCGCAGCCACAAAGAAGCGTCGAAGAGGGTCGGCGTCAGCCCATTGCTGTTGGTCTTGCCAATGTTTAGCGAGCTGTCGACGTTGAACTACATTGATCTTGAAGTTATGAGCGTTCAGGATAGATATGGAGTGCCGCGCGTCTTCTGGGAAAGAGCGCGGCGAAGAGATACGAAGAGACGCCGTTCGCCCATGGACGATCGGCTCGAAGGCCACTACCAGCGCCTTCGAGCCAGCAGCCTGTCAGGGACAAGCAACAAGAACGCTATGCCACCACCCGTGGACGACGGGACCTTAGTGTGAAAGCTTTCGTGGGCTCCTAGGAAGTCCAGCGAAGTGGGGTGGTACGCGGACCCAGTTGGAACATCGCGGCTCCCTGCGTGGCTGCGAATTGCGCAACTGCCACCACTTTCGTGGGCTCCTGCGATGACAGTCGCGAGATACACATCTGCAAAGAAGTTGGGAGGCGAGGGGGGGGGACACGAGAGAGAGGAGAAGGAGTGTATATGAGGACGACAATCAAAACGAAGATGAAAGAGAAAGGCAGGAACAATTACGGAACGAACAACTACCTGGCTTCATGTTTCGCTGGCACAAGCAGGCAAACGCAACCACACATGACGGCCAGGGAAACGCCTGGCGTCGCTTCCGTCTCTGGATTCTGGGGGGGTCATCCGGCCATATGGCCTCCTTGCTCTCGGACAGGACGTCACCACGTAGGATATTAGCAAATCTTCCTTTACCGTGGGGCTGGGGCGCCCACGACACGGTCCGACTAACCCTGCCCCCCCGCCCGGCCTCCCGCCAGAGGATCAGTTGGGAGAGCGAGGGGGGAGCGGGGAGGGGGACGAGCGAGGGGAAAGAGTCCTGCAGAAAGCACACATGCTAGGCTGCCTCAAAATGAATCGTGACACTCGAAAACAGGAAACGCAAACCGTGCTCGCTGCACCACCCCCTAGAACTCACGGGCAGACTCCGCTTGGAACTGGGACGAATCATAATGGTAATCAGACAGCGGGGGAAGTGCACTTTCGGAGATAACACCAACTTGCAGCATGGCAATCACATGGAACACAAGCGAAACTTGCAAACTACAGCCGTAACGCAAACAACTATTCGCAAGCTAATCGTGTGGTGCACCGTGGAAGCAGGCGTGTGTATGCTCTGGTATCGTCGTAGAATCACATGCGTCTCCTCTCCCAATGCTGTGGCAGCTGAAGCTTTCGACGGCGTGGCCGTCGAGCTTCGTGGTGCCTGGGCGCCGTTCACGCGGGGGCTATAAGCACGTTTCGGTACTTCTGCTCCGTTAAGGCCCCGATTCGCTTGAATTGATGCTGATGCCAACGCTAGCCAATCGCAAATGTTACAATTTTTTCTGGGCGGGACCTGGCCAACTAATACTGCTACGACTTCTCAATCAATAATTCAATCACATCAACGATGCCTGGCCGCGCTGCACCACTGGACCGGAAACTGTTACGATGTTGGCTTTTCCACAAAGAGCCGCTCGACCGTGCACTCGCTGGAACGTGGTGAGGGCGTGCTGGATATGGGCCCACTGGAATTACGATAAAGATGACATCTGCTGCATCAGCTCATGCAGAGCATAACTGCTGTTGGTCGTTGCTGCTTTTTTATCTTGAAGCCAAGCTGACTCCTCTTCCTAAGGTTCAGTGCTTGTCCTCCGTTGCTGAAGGAGCACGAGACGAGAGGTGAAAGACGGGAGGGCGGGACGGGGAGACGAGGGTAGGCGGAGACAAAGCATAGGACGGGGATGGGATGGGACGGGGGCCAGAGAGGGACGAGGACGGGTATAGGCGGAGACGGACAGGAGGGCGAGGGCGCTCCCCAGCCGCAAGCTGTCCCAATGGCGAGTTGGTGCCTTGTTCCTGCAAAGAGGAGGGGCGCGCCGACGAAAAGCGGCGCGTCGAAGATCTGCGGCCAGCGCGGTCACGCCTGCGCCCTTTCAAAAAGGTGGCTCCGCCCGCTACGCTTAGGTCGGGCATGTCCCTACAGGCGAACTTTGGACGAAAAATCAGAAATGCCCCAAACATATGCAAAAATAGCAACAAATACTACAAACATCGTCCCCACACGATCTTTTTTCACTATTTTTGAATATTCTCCTGTTCGGGGACAGGCCCGACTTCACGCTGCGCGTGCAGTGAAAGTGCGTGCCAGACGCTGGCGCACCAGAGCCCGGAGCGTGCCAGATCCGGAGCGTCGGCCGCGCTCTCGAGCAGCGTCCCGCCACCGTCCTCGCAGCTCCCGCGCGCCGGCCGCGCTCTATTCGCCAGCGGAGTTTCCCCGTCGCCAGCCTCGGCGCTTGCTCGAGCGGGGCGGCGGTGCCACCGCCCACTCGCAAGGATCAGCGTTACTCTGGCCATCGCCCAGACGTCGATTCCTCTGTGCTTTTTGTCGGTTTCGTGCGTGGTTCTTTCGCAGGATGATCCAGGATGATCCTTACTGATCCCCGCCGAGAAAAAGTGCACACGTCCGAGCGATACCGAGCGTTAGGTCGAGCAATTCCTCCGACAGGCGGGCTTTGGAAGAAGGCGGGCCTTCCCCGTTGTTGGCCTCGGCGCCTGCCCGAACGGGGCGACGGTGCCGCCGCCCACTCGCAGGGATCGGCGTTAGGTCGAGCAGTTCCTCCGACAGGCGGGCTGTTGGAAGAAAAACAGCAGGTGGTCAGCAAAACACAAATCACAATCACAAGCACACGACAACTCGGCCCGAGTTTTTTTTTAGAATTCTTGGATACTCCTCGTGTAGAGGGACATGCCCGGTACATCGGGTCGGATCGGACCGCGCGTCGGGCCCGATCGGTACAGAACCGACATATCGAAACGGATCGACCGCGTCATGATGCACAGCAACGCATATCGGACCGTCGGAACATATGGGAACCGGGTGGGATCGAACTGGCCAGATTCTAATCGACCCCTATCCCAGGCTTCGTGGGGCTTTCAAATGGACCAAAAGCTTGAGGCCCAATGGCATATACGAGGGGGGGGCGTCAATCCTCGATGGGGGTGCGATCAACGATGAATCGGGATGTCAGGTCGGATCGGGCCGCGCGTCGGGCCAGGCCGCATGCCGGTACAGCACCGGCACCTCGAACCGGATCGACTGGGCCAGGATGCACAGAGCAGCGTATCGGAGAACGTCGGAATATTCAAACTTTGGGATGGACTGCAAAATAGATTAATCCAAGTATTGATTTCCTCGTCGAATCCATGAGAGATGCGCAGGATGTCTATAGATCTGTGAAAAGTCGACGTATGACTCGACGGAAACATCGATTTGGGGGTAAATCGATTATGTTTTCGATCCCCTACTCTGAACATGGGAATCGGATGGGAGGACTGGCCGGTGTCGATATCGAATCGAACGGGTTGGGTCGGAATGGCCGCTGGGGTGGCAGCAGCACTTGTAGAACAGGCGTCCGACGTCGTGCCCGTGCGCTCGGGGGCGGCCCACGGTTCTGAGGCTGGAGGAGCAGAATAAGCGCAGGAGGCCTTCCAACGCCTCCTCGATGGCATCTGTCGTGGCGACTCGGGGCCCGTGTTTTGAGGGAGGAGCGAGCAAAGGGGACTCGCAACCATCCGACAACTGATCCAGCGTGAGCCGGAAATGCCAAGAAATGATGTCAGCATGGGTGCCTCGGGGGCCCATGGGCGCATGCCATTGCACGCGCATCGAGCCCGGCGTGCAGAGCCCCCCGTGTCAGGCAGATTCCGATTCGGGAACGACTGCCCTCCCTCACCAAATGCTTGAACATGGCAGAGAAAGCAGCTGAAACTGCACCGAGGACAGCACGGTGCATCTGCAAGGACACGCCGACGCAGCAAACATCTGTACCCATGCCGACTCGTCGACATCATTTCTGCTTTAATGAACCATCGTGTTGCGCGGGGTACCCCCTGGAGTGTTGGGTCCTTCTGGCGCCACGGCTCCCGAACGCAAAATTGCGGTTTCCCTTCGAAAGTCACCTTCGGAAGGTGTGAACTCCACTATGACCACGGGGTGGTCACCATGAAAGTGCCCCAATGCATGTTCGACTGCGACCTGGCTAAGGAACTTGTGTCTTCGGGAATTAAGGATCCCCATCCTGCCTCGCTTGACCTCACCTCCCCATCACGATCCTCAAACGCGTGACCTTTCACGTCCACGCGCATATCTGTCGCTGATGGGAGCGGTATGTTGCTCAACACCACTCTACATCAGCGGGTAAAGAACTCGATCGTTCGAGCGGTGAGCGTGAACTTCACCGCTGCTGACTTGCGCCAA